GTCCGCCTCGGTGGCCATGTCGCCGTCACCACGCACTGGGCTGGAACTCGTGACCCGCGCGCTCCCGCCGACCAGCATCACGAGATCCGGAGGGCTGGCCCAGAGGGCCCCGCCCCGTCCGGTTTCTCCCTGCTGTAGTCCCGCTTCGGGCTAAATCTCAGGCCCTGTTCGCCTCTGTTCCCGCCCCCAGGGCAGCCCCGTTCACTCCGGGCTGGGTCCCCAGCGCCTGAGCGCCCCGCCCTGGGAAGTTGAAGATCCCCTGGGGCAGACAGAGGGGTCAGATCACTGCGCAGGTGGAGGTGGTCATCCCGCAAGGGTCTGGGCCCAGGCCGGCACGGCCTGGCGTCCTGACCAGCCCTCCTCCTAGCTTTCTGCCCGTCCACATCCACGAAGGTCCGTCCTTGCCCGCATTTGTGCCTGAAAAGGGCCTGGCTGTGCATGCCTTCACCAACACTGGGGCCGAGGTTGTCCAGGGGCAGAAGGAGGCCAGACCCAGGGCTGGGTTGAGGCTGGGATGGGGCCAGATCCGGCAGGACTGGGTGTCACATGCCTGGGGCTCCCTCCTTCAACCCTGTCCAGTGTTCCACCACCACCTGCCTAGGCTGCTCTGCAGCGCCTCCCTGCTCGAATTTTAACGACGTATTAGATTTCAAGATTCATTGCTTTCCATAAAGTCACCTGTGAAAAAGTGAAACCATAGTTTTAGCAATTTGGGAACTTTCTTTTAGAAACTATCTTTAGTAAGTCTGAAAATAATGCACACAAATGCCTTTTAAAAAGACACATGTCTAGGGCAGGGGATTTAGCTCAGTGGTGCCACTGCCTGCCTGGCAAGCATAAAGTCCTGAGTTTGAACCCTGTTATATAAAAAAAAAAGTTTATCTGGATTTGATGGCACAGGCCTGTAATCCCAGCACTTGGGAGGCTGAGGCAGGAGGATCACCACGAGTTTGAGGCCAGCTTGGACTACACAGTAAGTTCAAGGCCAGCCTAGGCTAGATAAGACCTTGTGTCAAACAAAACAAAACACAAAGCAAATCGACACTGTGCTTTAGGACCCAGAATGAGAAGGACTGCCCCAGGTAATCCCAGGGACAAAGTGGGGCTTCACAGGCCAGCCGAGGCCACCTCCTCCCTAGAAATTCTTGTGACTTGTTGCCTTTCTGTGTTCCATGCCACCTGGCCCCACAAAGGCTTCCAACTCACAAAAACGGCTGCGTTTGGTTCACTGCTCCACCCCACCCCTTACATCAGTGCCCAGCATACAGCAGACACTGGATAGCATGACTGCGACCGGGTCATCAAGGTGACCAGCAGGAGCTTGCTGAATGCACAGAGTCTGTCCTGCTTAGACCGCTGGTGCAGTGGAAGACAGAGGCACCTTGTGAGGTGGAGAGCAGGGAACCCCAAGAGTGGAGAGGTTCCACACCCTGGCCAGCCCCAGTCAGTCACCCCTGCAGGGTTGAGCAGCTGAGGTGGCAGGTGAACCCCAGCCCGGCCTCAAGGTAGTGTGGGGCCAGGATCAGCAGGTTTGGAAAAGGTTTGTACAGCCAGAGGCACCTGCAGGACCAGAGGAACTACCTGTTGGTGGGCGGGGTCCAGAAAGGTGGAGTGTGGCCAGCAACTTCTGGAACACCTGCCAATCAGCCACCTGCACTTTGCCTTGGGGCCTTGGCTAAGGGGCCAAGGGAGAAGGGTACAGAGGCTAGGGGTGGAGACCAGAGAGCTAAGGAACACTGGGCACTGAGTAGCACTTGGTACCTCTCTCCATGCCTGGGGCTGGGGCCCTACCATCTCTCCCCAAGGACCTCCGGGCTGACACGTCAACAATGTAACTAAACCTGGGATGGGTACCTTGAGAGCCCAGGGGATGGCCTGGGCTTTGGGCCTGGTCTGAGCTCTGGAAGCCCTCAGGGGCATGAAAGCTTTTGAGCTGGGAGAGTCAGGCCAGGCTGAGGAGCAGAAGTAAGGAGGAAGTGCACAGAGGGCCAGCTGGCGAGGATGTGGGGCCCTGCCTTTGTCCCACCCCAAAAGACAGGCACTGACTCCTGGCTCCTCCATACCTTCCTCCAGGACCCAGCCCCACAAGTTCACAGACCAGGCTGACTCCTGCTTTCTGCACAGTGCACTGGGACTCTCCAAGAGCCCTGCCTGGCCCAGCACTGCTGGCTGTCCCCTTCACTGCTGGTGGCCTCCACACTCACACTGGGCCGTGCCAGCCCACAGAGCTGTCCAGGCCTCAAAATGCCTTGGTGTCCCACCCAAGGATGGCACTACCATTGTGAACCCTCCTGGGTAAGGTCTCCTGTGTGCCTCCTGGACATCCACTGAATACCCTTGGTGTGCCATGTCCATGCCAGGCCTTGGCCTAGCCCTATGCTCTGGAACAGCACAAGGACTCACAGGGCAATGGCCACCTTAGTCTAGCATCTAATGTTGGACATCTGACCAGACTTAGGGAGTGAGGCAGCGGGATTTGGTACTTTGGCAAGGTTCAAAGATGTGCAGAGATGAGCCAGGAGTAGAGAAGAGTATGCCTTTCTGGTAAGAGGCACCAGGTGCCAGAGCCCAGAGATGAGGGAAGATGAGTGCCCAGGACTGGAGCAAGAGAGGGCAAGAGAGTGCAGAGGGCCTTTGCCAAGACCTGTCTGCAGGGAAGCCAGGGGTGGGCTTCTAAGACTGAGCTCCACAGGGTGACTCTGGGCACATGGCCTTTCAGCCCTCCATCTGCCTGCCGAAATCACCATAACAGTGCACCAGCTTTGAGTGAGTAACCCCAGAGCAGGAGTGGGCCCAGCAGTGCTGGCCAGGGAAGCTGTTCCTGAGGCCTGAGATACACACGTGCCTTGGAGCTGAGGACACAGAGGCCAGGAGACAGCAGCTAAGCCTGCCCAGAGGGGCTGGAGGACAGACAGCGTCCTGAGAAGGCAGAAGCTACAGATGACACGTGGTCACCGCTGCGGCCTTTGGAAGTCTGGGATGATGGTGGGGGGGGGGTGGACCCAGGGCAGAGCAAGGAGGACAGGCAGAGGCAGAGAAATGTCTTGAACCCCAACCTGGCTTCTGGGAGTCCTCGAGCCTACGCTGAGATGGCTCTTGGAACCAGAACACAGGCCCTGGGGGTGCAGGGCTGTGAAAGCCAGGACAGCTGAAGGAGGGGTCCATGGAGGGAAGGGCTGCAAAGCCACTGGAGCCGGTGAGTGGATGGGCATCTGGGGACATAGGAGAAAGTGGCTTTGTTCTACAGCTGGCAGGCCAGGCCAGGCTGTCCCGTAGGGCTGCGGTGAGGACAGAGAGGCCTCTGTGAGGAGCGCCCAGCTGGCTGGAGCCTGGGGTCCTCTGGGAGCTGGCTTGGTGCAGAAGGAGGGGCCACCTCAGCTGCTGCCTGTGGCCAGGAGACCCTCGGGGAGGCGACCCTAGGGAGATAGGAGAAAAAGGTGGAACTCTCTGGAGGGGCTGCGACCTCCCATCCCTAACCCGGAGGGCTCCAGGGGACAGCTTCCTTGCAGGACGCCTGGCCCCAAATGTGGGAAAGATGAGGGTGGTGGGGCGGAGGAGGGCTTGTGGGAGTGGAGGCGGAAGGAGGGGCCGCGAGGAAACCCGGGGCGGGGCCTCAAAGTAGGCGGGGCCTCTGCGCAAGCTGGCGCCATTCCAGCCGGGAGATGGAGGAGGTCCCGCGCTGGCCCCAAGGCAGGAAAAATCAAACCCATGCCGGCGGCAGCCCAGCCAATCCAGGAGCAGAGGGGCCTGCTTCGGCCAATGGCGGCGGAGCATGCTAATGAGGGCCTCAGCCGCGAGGAGGACTCCATTCAAAAGTAGCAGCTATTGTCAGGCAGCTGCGCGCTGGGCCTGTCCCGCCGTCGGGCCGTTCGGAGACGGATCCGGGC